ACCACAGCTAATAAAGGAGCCATGTACAGGCACAGCACTATGCCTGGAGTCAAAGTCCACTTCTGAGGACCATACTGCTGCAGGTCAAAGACAGCAAACAGACAGAAAGCCCTTAGAACCTGACAACTCCACACGGAAAGTCTTCATCAGACCGGCTCATTTATTATTGACAGGACAATGTACTAATTATATAAACTGGATAAAGTATCTCAAATTAGAATGCAACCACCTTATCATGTCTCAGCTCTCATGGTTAGTGATGGAGCTTAGTTTAGCATGTCCTGTAAATCCCCCCAGATGGGAATTAACCTGTTTAAATTAATAACCATTGCGTCCTGCCCACCCACATTCTTTTTTGATTCATATTTCACACCCTCACAAGCCTTTGTTCTCGACAGAGAGACATGCACAGGGGGAACTACTTTATCCTCAAAATGTCACTTGCTGCTCCTTCCCCACCATCTGCTGCTTAGAAATGCTGTTGTTTCATGCTGCTGTATTTTTATCCTCCTCCACTCCTGTCTCTGTCTTCTCCTGTCTCCTCTTTTAGTTTTAAATGTTTTATTTTCTGCCAAAGAGATGGAGTTTCTTTGTTTTTACACTGCAGCATTGTTCAAGTTCATACTGGCACTGTATTTCTGTTCTTTTCTTTCTGCAGCGCATTGTGCCATGTGCTGTGCTTTCTGTTTGCCTCATTCTATGTAGACTGTCTGTTCCGGCCTTTGATTGTTTGTTCTCTCCAGCAAATTTTTGGAAAGCAGGGGATGAGGAGATATGCAGGTTGTTAACAGATTAACTGTGCTCCTTGTGGCTTGAATAATTTGCTCCCCTTTTGCCAAAAAAAAACATCTTTCACCGTGGAGTCTACCCTCAGGAGGTGTACACCTTTGGCCTTTTCATTGAGTGATTTGAGGGTGAGCTAGAGGCATGAAGGTTGCTTAGAGGTGTACAGTACCTGACCTCATCAGATCCCCTCAGAAGATCGAACAATCTGAGAGGAAAACAACTAAGTCATTTTTTTACAATTAGTATATTGCTATTTTAACTTCAAATACACAAGCCTGACATACTTTCACCCTTCAGTGCCATCATTACTGAGGTGACACCAGCACATTGCAGTATGACCACAGCTTCAGGCTAATAACATGCAATGCAGTAATTAGCCTATAGCCTACATTAGTTTAAAGAACTTGAGGGTATATGATTCTGTAAATCAACCGGGCTGTTTTCATTCCCAGGGCTTCAAATACGGGCACTTTGTCAAATACTTTTGGCATCTTAGAGAGACACTAAAGGGTACCCTTGGTGTCAGTGTTTTCATTTGAGTCAACAGTTAAGCCAGTGGTATCAGTAGACGCCCAGAACAGCAGCTCTGGATGTGTATTGATGGTGACAGTATACGCTGAGAGAAAGGAGGAGGTTGGAGTGGATGGGTCACAAAACACCTGACTTTGCCAGAGGAGGAAGGTGTTTGAGTCCATTGTGAATTGTAGTGCCTTTTGTTTTTACAGTCTTTATTTTTAATGAATGAGCATTTTAAATGAAGCTATGATTTGTTTCCCTATACCTAGCCATGTGGTTTTTGTTCCTAATCCTAATCACAGTGCTGAGCTTTGTGCCTAAAGTTAAAGCATCAGTATTTGACAACCTAGGATGAAAATGTGTTAAATCAGCACATTTTGAATTAACAGTAACTTGCACTGTAACCTAATATCATTGTGTGAGTGTGTGTGTGTGTGTATGTGTGTGTGTGTGTGTCTGTGTAAATGAAATTCTCTGCTTTGCTATGAAATGATTTATAGATTACATCAGAGTATATCACTCTTTCTCACTTTAGTTCAGCATTTTGATTTTTCAATATGTCATATGTCATTATAATAATTAATTTATATCCTACTGCAGTAATGAAACAGCATTTTTACATCTGCCTACAAGACTAAGCCCAAAATAATTTGTGTACAACTGGAGAAGGTTGGTCTTTAGCACATAGGTGGCATTTCACAAAACCCTCCTATGTTTTGAAAGCAATGTAATTGCTGCTTGGATTATTATCAGAGGCAACATGTTTATTAGCCCGGAGAAGGTCATGTTTTGAACAGCACAGAACTTTCACACCAGGCTGTGTGTGAAACTCAGCTTAGATCAACTCAGTGATTGTTGCACTAGTATGATTTCTGCACGTTGTTAGTTTTGTCTCCCCAGTGTACACTGAAGGTCTCAGCATTCCTTGCTGATTCAGTTTGGCCTGAGTATTAATACTGGATGATTATGTATATTATTGTTTTCAAAACTGGTGTTATAATTTTTGCTTTATTATCATTCCAGAACAAGTTGTAGGTTACTTGACGCTGGTCACATTTGACATTAAGTCTTGGAAAACAATAATTTGGGCATCTTCCATCCATCTGTGGTGTCATACTACTCATTTGATCCTTTTTGCTCTATATGTGTATAATTTGTTCAGTCAACAAATGAATCATATGCAAATTTTAACATTTTTAAGTAGCAAAGATAAGAAATTATGTGATGATAAAAGCATTTAAATCAATATGCAAACCAATTATTAACAGTAACAGGTGCTAAGAGTAGTGTAGCTACTAACCAAACTGCAGCAGGTCACTGCAAACACCAGTGCTATTCTCTTCAATATTCTTTATTATCTCTGCACCAATTCAGTATGTATTGGAAATGTTGAGGGCAGAGGGTATGTACAATATGAGAGTTTTAACACAAGGGTAGCAGCTGAGTCGAGTACATTTGTCCTGCTGAGTGATCTCAGCGCTGAGGGCATACTGCTATGATAAGTGGCCAGGCACAGACACGACAGTCAGTCATCGCCTGCACTGCTTAAAGCAAATTAAACTTTATGACACAGTACTGAGTGAGTGTGTAACACCATTTGAAAGTGTAATGCATCAAATTTGACTGTTGACTGTAGTAGCAGTATGGTTATTTATATGAAAGCCATGTGGGCAGGATGAGGTAAGAGCCAGTGTGGGACTCGAGTGTGAGGCTGCAGCTATTTCCCAAAGCAGTAGGTATTCTCCAAACTGCAAAAAGAATTGGTACAAAAGGTTTGTTCATTCATTTTTTAATAAGACATAATACCTGCAGTGGGATACTGGACTGGGATAAATGGCTTTTAGGGTGGACAAGCTTTTGTGTTGGTTTAGAAAAACACAAGGACACAGTTTTCAAGCTATGACTGGGAAGAACAGGTTGTTTCATTTTTTGTAGTTTCTGTTTTTGTGCCATTCTTACACTATGATTCATGATTCTGGTAGGGGAAGTGCAGCAGACAAATGTAGCTACATGAAGAAAAGGTCTTCATTCCAGCATCAACAGCACTAAATTACAGGCTAAGTTGAGTAATATAATGCGGTTACTGTCAAAGGAAATTTAAGAGAGTGTTTATGCTATTAAGGCAGCAGCATTTCATGTCATGAAGCTCAGAGCGCACACCTAACGCTTTGATTTTCTGGAACAGGCCACAGACACAAATGCAAGTCTAAACTTCAGGTGAAAGTGCATATGGGTGTATCTGATAAAATGGTAAATCCAAAAGATACACAGCGCCCCATACACCTACAGATATACTGTTGGAATCGCTGTGGGACTATCAGTGAGAGCAGAACATTATGCAAAAATTAGGTAAAAGGCAAATTGATAGTTCTTCTTCTCTGCATAATTATATTTGAATCATTTGTGTTGAGGACAATAAACAAACAAGTTTATCCGCAAAGTATTAGCAAAGTATTAGTAAAGTATTTATTTAAGAGTTGCAACTGAAAGATTTAACACCTCGGATATCTGAAATAGTTTTTAAAATATTTTCTTTGACATGTTTTATTTGTTCATTTGGCAGTGTTACTGATAATATGGATATGCTTATATGTGTATAAGACACAACAGCAAATGTTTATAGGAAGTGCTGCATTCCTCCATATGGTATTGCTGTTAATGTGCAGAATCATGCACAGCCCCTCTCTGAAACCAGGCGCTGTACATGTACAGTACAAGTCTACAAGTGCTTAATAAACTGCACAGAAAAACATTCTACAAGCTGTCGTGTTCAGTTCACTCATCATAACCAACAGCCCTGTCGCTGTTTCTGCAGAACTCTGGGTCACAAGGTTACATTCATGTGGAGGATATAGTTGGCGGTTTTTGTCAGTGTCGTGATGTGTTTTGAGGCAGATGAAAGATGTAGCAGACAGAGCCAGGGCACACTAGGCACATATGAAAGGTTCTTTTTGAGTTTGGAGAGGTCTGGTGCATGGTGTGTTTCTGCCAAGTAAAGCCAAGAAAACTGCAATGTCTCTGCAATAAAAAGTGGTCTGAGTAGGCAAAACAACACTGCACCTTCAGGAAGCTGGAACCCCACCAGCTCCAAGTTCACCGCTCCACAGCAGACCAACTTAAACCTTACAAACATACTAAAATGCAATTTGTCAGGGTGTCTCGCTTTCCCTTTCTCTGGTAGTTATCTGACTCTCTCTCTCCTCGTCTTTAATTTGCTTGGTGACACATGCAGCTCAGGGTGGACTGCATTTCGTAGAATGCGTTCTGTCACACTCACCTTTTTCCATTTAATGTGACAGTAATGTGTTTCAGATACTAAACGCTTTGCACAATC